AAGTAAAGTAAGTAAAGTAAGTAAAGTAAGTAAAGTAAGTAAAGTAAGTAAAGTAAGTAAAGTAAGCAAGCAAGCAAGCAAGCAAGCAAGCAAGCAAGCAAGTAAGCAAGCAAGCAAGTAAGCAAGCAAGCAAGTAAGTAAGTAAGTAAAGTAAGTAAAGCAAGTAAAGTAAGTAAAGTAAGTAGAGTAAGTAAAGTAAGTAAGTAAAGTAAGCAAGTAAGTAAGTTAGTTAGTTAGTAAGTTAGTAAGGAAGTAAGGAAGTAAGTTAGTAAGTTAAGTAGGTTAAGTAAGTTAAGTAAGTAAGTTAGTTAGTTAGTAAGTTAGTAAGTTAAGTAGGTTAAGGAAGCTAAGTAAGTTAAGTAAGTAAGTAAGTAAGGTAGTTAGTTAGTTAGTTAGTTAGTAAGTTAAGTAAGTTAAGTTAAGTTAAGTAAGTTAAGTAAGTTAGTAAGTAAGTGAGTTAGCAGTGCGCCGGGGTTGACATTGACGACCCCGGACAGGCCGCTGGATTTCGCAGCTTTGCTCGTGACTGGAGTGTTCTTTCTTTTGAGGGAGATTGAAGTAGCGGGCGCCTTGCTATTTGAGATCGATGATGGCCACACCATCAGGGGACGCAGTGACCCTGAGGCTTCCAAGAAAGACCAGGAAGCAAATGGCGCACCCGCACATGGACTGGCAAGATGGGGTTTTGCCCAAGCCATTATCTTTGGACGTACTTGGATTGTGTCACGACATGAACATACAGGGGGACGCTTGCTCGCTTTTCCAGGGCACAGCGCTCTCGAAGCCACAAGTGATCGATCTCATTCGTGAGACGGGGGCGGCATATGACCCAGAGGCGAACCCACAGTGGTACCGTGGGCATTCAATGAGGGTCTCCGGGGCCAGAGCTGGCGCTCGACCTCATAGAACCACTTGCCGCCTTTGCGACTCATCACGTCAAATCGCACATCAGTGTGACTGAGTCGCTAAAAGCATGGACGCAACGCGCGTGCGTCTACCCACAAGCGCGCAGACGGCCTCGCTGACGAGCTCCGTGAGAAAGCAGAGGTTCTCATGGACAAGCGAAATGACGAAGTGGCGGGACTATCGAACCCGCCATCGCAGGTGAGTACATCTTGAATTGAATCTCTTGTCGCTCAGGGTGCGCAAGCACAGGTCCGGCGAGCATGGGCTCCATGCAGTGCCACGATTGGCGCACCAGATGTGGTTGGCCATGGGCAGGAAAGAAGCACGTTTGTCGTGAAATTCTTCCCAAAGACCAGGCAGTGTAGAAGTGACCTGGCACATGATTCATCTTCCTCCACCAGTGACTCTGAGGACAGCGACTAGCTGCAGTGTTGTTCAATACAGGGGTGCATGGGAGTGTTCACCAGGGGTCGCCACTTCAGAAACCCTGGTAAGTGAGACACTCGAACAACTTCAGCAGCTACGCAGAAAAATACTGCATCGCACGTCCTCGGGTGGTTGGTGGAGAAACTTCAGTGCCTAGATGTGTGCTCCTTTTTTGTCCCTTGCTTGCCCCCTTGTGTGTCTCTTGTTTGCCCCTTTGTTTGTTTTGTTGTTTGCTGTTTGTTTTGCTCCTGATAGTGCATGCTCTTTGAAGAATTGGACTAAAACTCGGCTTTGGCGTAAGCTTCCATATCATGCGAACTCTTTCACAAACACATTCCACCAGACTCTCGAGCGCCGGAAATGGGATGCTCACTGACCGCCCTGGCTCAAAGACTTCTCTTCGCCAGGTTGGCGAACAAGGCGCAAGCACAGCGTGCCATTGCCAAATACCACAACCGGGTGCCGAGGCTCTTGGAGAAGCTGCTTGGACGGATCGGTTTCCGAATCGGAACGCATCCCGAGTCACCGAAATCATTTTTGGCAACAGGGACGTGTTTGCGGGCGACGTGATTTCTGGCAACCTTTGGATGGATGGAATCCATCGGCACCCGAAAACATGAAGGAAATTTCTACGATATTATGACGATATAGTATAGTACATACAGTATGAATATATTAGATCCACAGCGATCCACAAGTGGACAAAAAGTAGTTACACGGGCGTGCAATTTTTTTGATAGAATGAAGATGGATTTGAACGCATTTCAACGTGTTTGGTGATCCGGACTCATCTATTTAAAAATGAAGAGTTCGCAAGAAACCTTGTCGTTTTTGCCAAGTGGATCATAGTGTATAGGACTAAAACGGAAAGGCATAGTTCACCCTATTCTTATCCCTGTAGGAATTTTGAAGAAATTCAATTGGATATATAATGATGTATCGGCGTTCGTGTTGTGAGAAACATGCTGGGCGGACCAACAGAACAAGCGGTTTGTTGTTTTTACTTAATCATGGGGGTTTTGAGGTGTTCTTATGTATTTGGGTTCCCATTGTTTTCTTTTGGACGCTCTGTCAAAAATATATATACTGTACTAGGAAGCTTATGAAACCTGAGCATGGACCCTTCGCTTTCCTCTATAGCCATCTTCTATTAAGTCAACTTTGTTCTTTGACCTTTCTATCTGAGAAAATCCCACACCAATATAGTTGTTCTTTTTGTATCATGTCATTTCCTTTCGTTGGCCCAAACGCAGTTCACCGTCGATCCGCTGAAGAAAAATTTACGGTTTCTGCAGAAATATCTCTTCGGCTGCAGATGCCGAGGAAGGCAGAAGAAGTGGACGCCAAGAAGCTGAGTGTCGAGATCACCAAGGCCGTGTATGTTGGGAGACACATCTTGGTGATCTCCACAGGAGACTCGTTTTGGAGACACATCTTAAGATCACCAAGACCTGTATTTCAAGAAGCAGGACCGTTTTTCTTAGGAGGGGTGGGATTGCTGCTGAAAAAACGCACTGCGCTTTTCCTCAATCAGGATCGCGGGCCTGAAGAAGGGCGCAAAAGGTCTCAAAAGTCCGATTGCAATGGACAAATCCCCAAGGGTTTTATCATGTCACCACCAGCCTTTATGGTGAGAATGTTTCTTGCTGACAGTCAACCTTTGTGGTGTGTAGTTGCTTATCGCAAGACATCTCAAGACAGGAAGCATTGTGGCGCTCCAAATCGTTCCAAATCTAATGCAGTGCACGATATTCGACCAGCTCGCTGCAGAGAATACTGGTCAACCACACGAAGGGTGGTGATGTTGATACTTGCGGTGCCAATGACTTAGTTAGAGCCAAGATGTCTAGTTTCCTGATAGACCAAATAGTGTTCGTACTTCTCATGCGGATTCAACCTGAAAACCCTGGTGACAGTGAAAAGTCCTCAGACAAAAAATAAGAACAATGATAATATTGACAATCCTTCTCTAAATTCATTCCTGTCCGGTTTCATTCCTCGTTCAGCATCGAAGGACATGAAGGAAGTTGAAGAAAAACCCTGTGGCCAATCCATTGCCTTCATCTTTATCTACACTCCTGATGACATGTCCAAGAAGAAAACGGCAGAAAAAAGAAAACAACAAGAAGACAAAGGAAAAAGCCAATAAAAAGAGTTCCAAATGCAAGAAATACTGTAACCACTGCCCAAGAGCAGACCGATGTATTCTTAAAGGATCAGTGTGCAGGGTTAAATTTTGGGTGAAAACAAGAGCCACATCAACTTACTGCTGCCACCTGTCGGGGAATGTTGGTCAACCACCCGTGAACCACCGCTGCGCAGCGGATCTTCCCTGCTGGCTTCGGGCTCAGGGCATGCTGCGGGCCACCGTGGACCAACTGGCCCGAGGCACCGCGACGGTGGACGCGGTGGTCGCTTGACAGGTCGAGACGACCGACGCTGAAATCCAGGGGTTTGAGGTTTTGCGCGATGCTTGGTGCGATGCTTTGCCCTCGCAAAAACACCAACGAAAGCCCTGGTCCAGACCCATACAGACGGGTCTGATATAGAGTTAACATGTATTTAAGAACACATGGTGACTGTTGTCGGAATGTTTGTGAAATGCGATGAATTGCATGTTTGGTCTTGACATGTTTTGATTCGTCAAGGACTGAGGTCGTGGTCGTCATGTGTGTTGCAATATGTTGACGTAGACTACAGACCGATACCCATCGTTGCAGCAAAAAGAACGTGGCCAAGATGTGGCTTGGAAAGGCACTGCAGAGCAAGAGAAAACCGACAGAATCCACTGTTGCCAGGCCTTTTTTTTGCACATGTGATACATTGCAGATCATCAGAATTGTTGCCATGCATGGGTAGCCATGGAAGATCACTTCTCAGCCGTGGCCGGGCGTCAGTGGTTCTAGAGGGTCAGGGCGTTGGGTTTACACCACTGATATGGTGGTTATTCGTATCTACTTTGCCATCACCATATCGGTGGTAATTCATATTCTGAAATGAAAGTTTGACCAAGTTGCAACCTCTCCCCAAGGCCCCCAGCATTGACGAGGTGAATCAAGTTGATAAAGGCGGAAGGCATTTCTACCGTTGATTTACCATTAATTATGCTAATATTAAACGATAAGCTAACATATATATCATTGTCATATAAAAATTCTCAAATCTCTTTTGGCAGTTCTACTGCTCCACTCTTTGCCACGGCAAAAAAAAACGACCTCCAACCCAAATCTGCCTCCTCGTCCCGGTCCAAGCATCGACCCTCCACAGGTGTCACCGTCATCATCGACCTGCGGAAACCCTTGGGCTGTGTGTCCCTTGGACGTGCCGACCGCGGGACGTGCCGTTCGTGAAGCGGGCGGATTTCAACGGAGAAGAGGACGGTCACGGCGGCGGAGTTCAACGGTCACCGAGACGAGACAGGTGCGGACCGGTGCGGAGACAGTGACGATCTATATAGAGATCTACAGTAGCTTCTATTCAAGAGTACAGTAGAGAAGAGCAAGAGTACGTCAAGAAGGCCAGTAGCTTCAAGACGATCTAGAGATCTACGAAGTGCAAGAGTACGTCTATATACTGGCCTTCTTCGGATCAAATGCAAATATGAGAAAAGGCATGTACAGTCTACTTTTAAGGATTCACACCTGAGGTCACCTGAAAGTTCCTGCAACCTGAATCAATTCGCAAGGACATATTTCGATTGTTTAATGTTCACAAAGCACTCCTGACCGTGAAACAACCTTGAAATATGAAAATCAAAGGAACTGAGCCGATGATTTTGGGTGTGACGGAGGATTTGGGGTGGGTGACTTAGGCCCCTTTCAGAGGTGATGGTTAGCCACTATTGCAAGGCTAACTAGCTATGTTTGTTTGAGTGACTAGCGACTACTAGTAGCAGCAGCCACTACCAAGTAGCCCCTACCTCACCACCTATCTGATGGGTTCTTGCGGATGTTTGAGATGGGTTTGTCGCCTCACCTCAGCCTCACCCAGTGGAAACCGACTGGATGTGGCCTCTCCAGGCCCTTGTTGATTCATCAAGCTCTTACAGTTTCAGAGGTTGACACAAGACGTCCCCCAAGATGATTGACGAAAGGTTTGGGAGGGTCCATATCTCTACCACCCAAATTGGACCAACTTCGTGCCCGTTGTCCCTGTCAAGACTATACCCTCGGTCGTCCCTTTTTCGTCCGTCCCTTTTGTTCGTCGTTCGACGAACCACCCGAGGTTCAACGATGATTTGGTCACCAAGAGCGTCCAGGAGGCACTGACCGGTCCCACGTGGGAAGCTGGCCGAAGCGGCGAACCGTTTGCGTTGCGTTCGTTCGTTCTCGGGCGGGCCTTTGAGGCGTTCGAACGGGTTGGAGGTGGATGGGAGAAGATATATATGACCTGTCACTATACGTATATGTCTTAGACCCAGAGGCGACCTGTCTGGGACTGCCAGGATGGACTGCCGCCCCAGAAAGGCCTCCCTGGCACCACAACAATTGATCGGCAGTCCTATGGCAGTCGGGAGATATAAGTAGGAGAACCCCTAGAACCGTGGCTTGTCCCCTCTTTGTGATCCTCACATTCACCGTTCACATCCGATCCAGTGGCCCAGAGGAAAGTAACGCACGGCCTGGCGCCGCGCCGCGCCTCGCCTCGCCGGCTTTTTGGCCCGTCTTCCGAGTGTTTGTGTGAGCGACCCTGCCTTAAGGCCACTGTGTGACGGGCCAGTCTTCGGTGTCCGAGTTCATGATCCCTGTCGAAGGGTTTTGGTGTACTTCGTCGAAGGAGAAAAACACGGACGAAAGAAGCAAAGCGGTTTTCAGCTTCCAACTGGAGTCAGTCTCAAAATTCCTCTCAAACGTCCAAACACAAAACACACAAAAAAAAAAATCATGCGCAATTGGTGATGATGGGGCATACTTTTGAGGTTGGCATAAGATTCCGAGGATAGTTCTTCAAGTTGAGCAGCAGGCGTCCAAACCCTTGTGTTTCCTTGTTTCATCCCCCTATCATCCCGTTGCAGGCCACCTACACGTATGAAATTGAGCATCAACGAACTGGGAGTTGTCGAAATCGGAGCTCTCCACTTCCCAAGTTGTATCATCCATCCATTCTCCGAAAGAAGACAAACCGCCACCCTCTCACCAGACACCTCCCACCAGACACCTCCAGACACCGGCGCCACCAAGCCCGGCTTCGCTCTTCAGGAGGGTCAGGGCTTCGAGCTGGGCATCCGTGTGAGCTGGCGGGTGCGCTCCATCGGCGGTGTCAAAGTGCTCAAGACTGCTGACCTCAAGGCGCCAAGTTTCTGTGGGCTGCGCGGGGCGCGTGCGCGCGTGCAGGCGCACGTGCGCGGAAGTTCAGGAATGGTTTTGGTGTGGGCTGTGGCGGAAGGAGGGGATGCTGAAGGCCATGGATGAACGCCAGCAGATGCAAGCTGGATGGATGGTTGATGGTGTTGATGTGGATGTGGTTGGAAGAAGGTGATTGTTTGGGAAGGGTGGTCCGCGGCCTTATGTATCCCAATGTTTTAACCTCTCCCTTAAAAGCCCGAATTTGATCTACTGCTTGATGGCTTGACTACCATTCCCTTGCGGTCTTGTCTGACGGAGTGGAACTTGGTTTGCTAGCCTCATCCAGTTTGAGGGTTTTTGAGAAGAAAAGAAGTAGCTTGTACCACGTTCTAGATATTTCTGTCTAATCTTGACTGTAAAGTAATGTTCAACTCCCCATATGGACCTGCTTTACAATCCCAAATGGGATACTTTTCATCATCAACAGGCAGTTATATGTTGGGACCACTTAGATATACCACGGCTCGTCTCTCCCCCCCTTGGATTCCGCTTTTGGACACCGACCGGGTCCGCGTGCGCAGACGCGCGCGTCTCAGGAGCGCATGGGGAAGTTAAAGGCCGAGGCGGAAGAAACGGATTTCACCAGGTGAATGGGAGCGAAATAGCATGAAACATGGGAAGAGAGTGTGTGTACTCACAAGGGTGTTTTAAGCACACATGGCGGTTGAGTCGTGCTTGCGTCGATCAATGGCCCAAGCACGACCTGTTTGGGACGTTTCTTTTTTTGTGGTTTTTCGATGCCGAGAGTCGCTTCTCGGGGCGGCTGGTTGGTTGAAACGGGGTCCATGTAGTCACAAGTCTGACACCCAAACACTCCATGGGACTGACATATTAACATACGTTATACAGACAGGGGCTGTTGAAAAAGCGTCAATGTAGGTAAATATGGCAGTCCCATGGTGTGTGACAGGGACATCCATTGGAGTATGGCAGACAGGTGAGTTCAACGAACAGATCGCAGACCGTTGCGAACACCAATCGAAGACATGAAACCGATCCTTGAAGACACCGTTGCCAAGGACTCCACCAGGGTGTCCCAGGACCCCAGAGCCTAAGGAATAAGGGATCCTGAGGCTATTCCCTATTCCCTACGGGCTGGATCCAGGTCTTTTCCGGGATCCTACGGCTGGGAAGTTTGAAGTAGGGAATTGTGTCCTGATCCTGAGGGCTGCTGAACCTTCCCTCCCATTCCTTGCTTTCGTCGCACGAGTCGTCCCTTGTCCAGTACCCGACGGACCCGATACATCACCCGACGCCGACCAATAGGAGGGTGGCAGTTCAGAATCCCTGGGCTCTCGGCAGAGGTCCGGGCCCGAACCAAACCCAGTGTGTTGGTTCAGGCCCGGATTCTTGGGGTTGTTTGTGTGGCCTCCCAAAAAAACTGGACTGCCACGTGTCAACCTGTACTGGACTGCCTATCACATCCAGGATCAATTTGATGTACTCCTTCTTCGGGTCCCATGTTCGGCCTTTGAACTTCTCTTAGTGCGCAGGTACACTTCCCAGAGAAAAGGAACGGTCAAGCGTTTGTTAGAGGTCAAGCGTCTTCCTTTCACAACCAGATCGGAATCCCATGATTTTTCCGGCGAGCCATCTTGGCTGTCAACGAAATCTGAGACTATTGTTTGACCACTCCCATGTTTGCAAAGCACCACGGGGAGATGGCTTGGAGTTGGGTTCTTCAGGCACCAAACCAGGTTTGGTGACGGACGGGGAGGGAGGGAACATGGAGAAAGGCCCAAAAGCCAACCCACCCTATTTATGGCTCTTTTCAAGTGCCGATTTCGAAGCTGGATGACTCCTTCTGTCAGGGAACCTGGACTTTCAAGCTGCTAGTCTTGAACAGCCATATTTCGGTTGGGGGATAAAACCTGAGTGGATGTTGCCAACCTTGGGAAGAGATGGGTGAAGGGTGAAGGGATGCCTGAGATGATTTTTTGGGGTTCCAGGTACCTTGTCAGAAGGTGATTGGAGACTGTTTATGTAGGTTGGGAGGGTCCAAAGTACCTTCTGAGGACGTACTTGGATCCCTAGGGATTGTTAAGTTGTTGATGGGGTGAAGGGATGCCTGAAGGACCTCCGACTCGATCTACTTTGGAGAGATGGACCCGCCATGAGTCCAGGGGGGTCAAAGCAGGTCAAGCAGAAAAGCGAGACGTCTGGGAGATGCTGGGATGGTTGTCTTGTCGATCCCGATCAAGGGTCCATTTCTTCCTCCAGGACATCAGGTGATGAAACCAAAAGATGGCAGTCGCATCACACGGGAGATGTTTTTCTTTCATCCCAGATTCCATCCGGATCCCTTAAAAGATGGACAGTCTTGGCAAGCAACAGCATGCGGAGTCTTACTGTTCTGATATGTGGCGATGTCTTTTGCTCACATTTGGCACTTCATCTAACGTCCCTCCCTGGCCGTTGGCGGGCAGATTCCACCCAACGAAACCTGTCAACCAAAAACGGGGTGAGAAAGAAAAGAAAGCGCCGCAGACGGAGGGATCTTCACAGACGGAACGCAGAAACGTGTTCCAAGTCAAGAAAAGAAAGAAAAGAGACAAAACCGCGGCAGGGCCACAAGGAGGCGGCGCTGGTCTTCTCACCACCGCCGATCGTGGCCTCCTTCGCCAAGCGACCCTTCGGCTTCACCGTGGCCAAGGCGACGGGCGGTGGCGACGCTGGGGACCGAAGTCGAGACGTGGTCGCTGGGACATGCTGGGACCCTGAGGTTCGTGGTATGCAGAAAATAGGGGACACATGTGGAGACAGTATGTCCCAGTATCTCCCAGTAACAGGAAGGGTAGAAGAGAACGTCACTTCATGTGGAGAATGGCCCGGTTCATGGCCGACCATCATCATCCACTAGGCCCTGGTAATCACCAGAAATCAGAAGATCTACTGACAGACGTGCACCAGGTTGGAACCAGGATGACGTTCGTGTGGTTGCTGTGTTAAAGTGAGTTCAAGGGTGGAGATCGGCCAGAACTTACTGGAATCTTCTCTGTGCATGTGAAGAGTGAGACTGCCAAAAGGGTGGACACCCAGCCGCAGTCCCCTCAAATGGTGCAAATCCTGTGAATCTTCAGCCAACAGTGCATGGCTCTCACCAGCCACCCAGCCATGGCTCTCATCTGTCATCTACTGTCCGATTCCCTGAAACGGTCCCACCGGGGCAGCCGGGGCATGTCCGGGCATGTCCCAGCCCTTCAACAAGTCGCACGGCCATGAACTCCGAACGCTTCCGGAACCATTGCTTCCATGCGTGGAGAACAACTCCTCCTTGAGACGGCACTCAGGCGGCTTGGATTTGTTTGGAGACCTATGGTAGGGCACCGATTCACCAAAGGCTGCGTTCGCCCCTGAATTTCAGCGCCGAACAACAGGACGCCGACCTGGGCCTCATCTACGTGAACGCCTCCAATGGCCTCGCGCGCGCGCAGGGCGTGCGCCCGGGCGCGTTGATCTCCAACATCGGTCGGGACCGCTCAGTGGCGATGGAAGTGGGGACCAGAGGAGTGGAGGGGGAACTACTATATAGTAGCTTCTTGTTACTACTAGCGAAGGCCTCCAACCTACTCTCGATGGCCTCCAACCGAGAGTAGCTTCTGAGGTGTTTTTGGGAAGTGGTTTTTGGAGATCAATCGATGTCGAGATATGTCGAGATATGTCTCCTACATCCTCATATTCACTTAGAAAAAGAATCCTCATGGATTCATAGTTTAGGGAATCAGACATCAACAGTCTACATGTGTTCTATTCATTTCGCAGGTTTGCTGGGGTTGGCTGGTAATTTGAACAGGCTGGCTTTCAACGGTGGGGGGCGCGCGGCGGGCACACTTCCCCTAAACCGGTGATTCGCAGAGGATCCAGTTGCAGGTGGTTCGAAACACTCACCAACTGACCACGAACTGCCCGGGCACCAAGATGCTCCCGAGAACCAGCAACCACCGACAACCAACAACGGCCCGTGCGACGGTCCCGGAAAGCATCGAGATCCAGGAGCAAGCACCCTTTGTTGGACGACTTTGGGAACGCCCAATCCCAGAATCATACCATGGTACCCGACTTGGGAATCTACAAGTTCACCGTCATGGATTTCCATAGTTTTCACCAGCGGCAGGGAATAAAAACAAAAAACAACATCGGAATCGCCGCCCTGGTCGTTCTGATGGGGATCCTTCTTTTGTCCAATCCATTCACAGGTGGTACCGATGTGAGTGCCTTGAAGATCGAGCAGGTGAGGGATATGTTGCTGAAGGCCACTTCTTCCGCGCGTCCTCGCGTGCGTATTTTAGTTTTTGTTCAAGGGAGCGCGCGGGAGAGGGATTTGCTGCTTCAGCTGCTGGAAGAAGCAGAAAAACCACGTAGCCAAAACATCAAGAAGTGGCGAGCCATTTTTCGGTTTTCGGCTGACGGATCAGTTCACCATAGTTCACCAATGCTCACCATCGGAGGTGCAGAGTGCTGACTAACGGATTCACCGTGTGGTTGCGAGCGACAGATTCCTTTGGAAGTGACTTGGGTCGTCAAAAAGACAGTTCTCGCTTTGGTGCATGAAAGAAGTACCAAGCTTGTTTGGACTCAGTCAAAAAAATAGTCTCTTGAACAGACTTGTTGAGTCACTTGTTTTTTTGAATTCAGCTGGCCATTCCAAGATTCGTGTATTTGTCCTGTTTGATCGCTCATCCGGGCTTCACTGGGTTGTTTTTGTGACCAGAAATCATGGCTTTTCCGAGTAGCCACGGTCACCAAAGCTCTGGAGAAGCCTTTGTGCTTCCATCCTTCGGCTTGGTGTGAGGAGGACCCAGGACGCAGTTGAGCAGACAGACAGACAGACAGCCAGACAGCAGAACAGTAGTCAGAGCAGTAGTCAGAACAGTTTTAATTTATCTATACTCTGTTATTTATCAGTTTTATTTATCAGTTTGGGAGAATAGTTATACTCTGAAGCTCAATGTTGTTCTTTATTCGTGTTGCGCAGCATTGTAGAAAGCTCGAGCTGCATAGTTTGTTGGAACATCCATCCATCAAGAGCAAGTAGGAATCAGGGATTTGCAGAAGGCGAATGCAGGCGACAAGGTTCTTTGGCACACCCAGCGTCACAGCGCGCGATGTTTTCGACGAAGCCGACACGAAAAGACGCGAGCCAACATGATGACGGGTTTGACATCATTACACTCCGAGTATAACGTGGAAGTGAAGCACCCTCTGTTTGCAGGAACCATTTTCCATTTCCATGTTAGTGGGTCAGAGTGTAAATGATAGGATATCCAAAACCTTGAAGAAAGGATACCCCCCTCTCAATGACCTCCGCAGTAAGTAAGAGGTTATTGGACGTTGCTCATTTGAGTGGACTGTCAGGCAGATGTGCCGGTGACTGTCCACTTTGAGCAAGCTCGAGGGCTGCCAAATGCAGCCACCCGGTCCAAAGGGGTTTGAGAGCTTGGGGTCCACCAGTGGGGCTCTTGAGCAACAGGAGTATGCAGGAGTATTCGGAGGCAGACTCTCAAATCAAGGACATGAACATTTGATATCAATGCTTTCACTTTTAGACCACTGGGATGGTTGGTTTCCAGGTCGGGGCTTTTGCCCTGGAAGGTCGCTTTTCCAAGAAGGAACAATCTCTTCAAAAAAATGACCTGCAATTCCAACACTCATCTCTTCATCAAATACGTTGAGTCTCAGTGTTGATCGTGTGTGTTTTCCCCCCAAATGCGCCGGTCAGACCGCGCCGCACATCGATAGGTGCCGGCCGCACCGGCCACGGCCGCAGCCGCCCGAGGTCACCGGCGTGTTGCACCCGGTGCCGGACGAGGAGATGCCGGCGCCCCCGCCGGCGGAGGTCGGTGCGGGTGGCCCAGCATGGCCCAGCGGGCGTGGCGAGTGGGGTGGAGACCTGGTGGAGTCGGGAGTTTGAAAGGATTGAGCCATAGACATCCAAAACAAAAATATAGCAATGGATTACAAGGTATCGTATGTGGTATGTCACATCATTTACGAATATTGGTTGTTTACTGCGAACTTGGGGAAGAGATGGTGTTCATGCTCAGTTGAAATAGGAAACATGATGAATCATTCTGATATACCCTGCGCTTGGCCTTGTTCTAACGCAGAGACAGCCAATCTGGTGCAGGTGTTGGTATGGTGTTGTATCGAACATTTGGCAATTTGATCCACATCTTCTACAATTCACCAATTCACAAACATTCACTAATTGACATACAACTCACGTACTTGTATCGAACCAAATACCACCAAGTTCCCTTCAACCCTCCCAAATCATCCGCCAACTCCGCTCCCGCTCCGCGCGCCCGACCCAGCCTCCGCACGCTCCTCTCGGCACCGCGGCCACCGACGCGACGCTCCGAGTTGACGAAGGGCCCATGGTGGTTCCACCACCGGTGGATCTGGACATCGACCTGTTGGGGACACCGAGCGTCTTCGACGGTGGGAGAGATCAAGGGAGGGTAGAGGGAGAGGACTGCGTGCGTGGGTGCAAAGTTCAGGTCAGAGATGCAAAACACAGGTTTTTTGTCGTTGATTGTTGTTATTCAAAGAAAGACATCAAAAGTAGAGCAACCTCTTTTAGAGCGTGACCAAGAGGCAGAGGAGAACACCAAGTAGGATTTGACAACCATTAGGCGAATTCCGCCAAGTACAAGGTACCCAAACAGCTCAAGGGTTTGATTGAACCAAGTAAGCTAGGATCAGATGTGTGCAGATAGCCAATGATCCACATGCAGATGGGTACTGCAATGTAATTGACCTTTTGTTGAAATCAGCATGGCAAATACAGATCCAAATCACAGTGTTTTGAAGTCAACTCAGCAGGAAATGATGTCCTTGACCCTCTGGTCCCATCTTTTCCCACTATTTGGAAGGTGCTTTATTTGGTTGTTCTTGAGTCTTGTCTTGTTCTAGTCACTCGAACCATGAGGTAGAGCTTGGATAGGTTGGTGTGTCTTGGCCCAATCCAACAGTGGAGAATGAAGGACCATGTGATGTTGTTTTCCGCAAGCATCCTTGGGAAGGTGAAGATGATTAGTTATATAATAGTTATATCTTACACATACACTGTGTTCATTGATTATGCATGTTGCCAATGTTTGGAAGAGGGTCAGAACAACCTCCCAAAAAAAGACTCATGTTATTCATTGTTCGACTTTATTGGAGGATCCTAGAATACAAACCACGCAAGACCACTTCAACCTTCTCGAACAGCCTGATTCCAAAGACACAGTTGACCGTGGAGCAACAGCCTGTTCAACTGCACTCTTTCTCCCAGACTTGTTCCAGTGATTGTCAACCCGAGTTCCTACATCTGCCTACCGCCCAGATGGTTCCATATGCTCGCTTCTTCGCTTCCTTCGCTTCCGTCCGCGCCCACGTGCAACGCGGACCGACCGCCGCGGCCGGAGCGGCGAGGTCCGTGCCGTTGGGCATCAAGTTCGACGATCAGCTGGTGGTCGAGAGCGTGGCCAAGAACTCTCAGGTTCGGATCGATCCGCGCCCGGCGAGGGTCGGCATCGACGAGAGGGGCCATGCGGTGGGGAAGAAAGCGGAGGGTAGGCCACCCACGACAAGAGTGTGTGGCTTCGAAAAGACATTGGTGAGTATAGGTGCAGCACTAGTGATCACTGACTCATCATGATGGATTTCTGACATTGACAGGTACAGTTTTTGGAGAGTCCGAAAGCTTCAGAGGAATCCCCTTTCATTGACCAGTAATTACATAATTACGTACTATAGCAATACCTCAGGATTATCATGAATTTGCGAGACAAATTGCCCACCAGCATATTATCATGTTCAAAGAAACCTTCATGACGAAACGGTGATCATGTTCACAGCTTCCTCCGAAGCGAACGGAGATCTCCGGCCGTTTCTCCGGCGTGCTCGGATCGTCTTCTACTCGGGCGAAATGAGGCCAGCTGTGGAAATCTTTGGAGAAGCACCTGTTTTTGGAGGGAGAGGGATCCAAAAAGCACAAGTAGAGCAGACCTTTTGTTTCCAAAGATCCTCCACCCCCTGTTTTGGAGCCCCAGGATCGCTCCAGTTGTGCTGACAGCAGTTCCCGGAGCATTCGACCGAATGAAGCGGGTTCACCCGGATCTTCCAATGGTTCACACCAAAAGGTGGTCTTTTCCCCCATCTCGGTAAGAGCCATGCCCCGCAAACCAAGAAAGAGGTTCAATCACTCAATGTACTGATTGTACTGTTGATGAATCAAAGCCCTGAATCTGAGGATGCTTTCAGGACGGGAGTTCTGATTCATCAACCCTCTGTACTTCTCAAGGTGAACTGGAACTCTTCCAGGGTGAACCCCACCTGGACCGAAGGCAGCTCGCCTTGGCATCGGCCCTGGTTGGCAAGCCTTAGGAGACACGTCGCCCGTCGCGTCCTGTTGGGTTCATTTTGGGTCGACTGTGGGTCATCATCGTGTGGTTCAATGTGGTTCAATGTGGTTCAGAGGGCTGGAGATGTCAAGCTGATGAAGGCCCGATACGTGGCACCACCTACAACCCATTCAGGTCCCCCTCCGCCAGAAGAGCATTGATGACCTTGGCCATCGATACTATGAGACTCCGGCCAAATAGAAAGGTCAAAGCCGCTGAAAGTCGCTGTCCCGACTGGCACCTGTCATGCGATGCACAACAGGCAAAGCCAGTGAGCCCATCGGAGAATGTGATGGCCTTTATTGTGCCCCTGGCGCTTGGGCGGTGACATTCCAATATACAAAAACAAGGTTGTTGATGTCTAAAGTTGGTCCATTGCGGGCACCGGATGTACACACTGACGACCCAAGAAATGTGAAGGAAGCCGCACAGAAGCGTGCAATTGGAAAACACCGCCCTTTCCTGCCGGCAAAAGACAAAATCAAGAAGATTGGGGAACTCGTCAGCACACTTATGGGATTGAATGGCCAACGAGAGCTTCGCATGTGGAGTGAGTCACAGATTGAAGACTCCTTCGGTGATTTCCTCAAACCAGCCATGGCAAAGTCAAAAAAGGATTGAAGAACGGTTCAACAGTGAATTTGAGAAGCTCCTTCAGGAAGCAAATCCACAGTTCAAGCTTAAGGCGAAGATCAAGTTGGAGCCAGCAGGAAACAAGCCCGGCAGTGCATCCAAGCCCCTCGTCTCCTCATGCTGATGTAGATGCTGGGCAAGTCATGGCACCCAGTGACGCATTGCGAGAGGTGGAGCAGTTCATTCACTGCCCTGTGCCCAGCCACGGTTCGAAAGGCCGTTCGGACCTTCACCCTTCCCGCGCTCCGGCTTCTGTTTGGCAATGATCACATCACCGGATGCGTGCTTCTTCTTGACTTAGTATTGTGTTGGGTATAAAGTGCAGATTTGGTTGACAATATGCCTGCTTCACGTTCAGTCCAATCGCAAACGAGGGTGTTTGCTCGGAATTGTGCTCCCTGACAACTCCTGGCCTGGGAAGCTCAAGGTCGTAAGTGATAGTCGTAGGCAATGATAGGAACAACAGTCGAAGAGCCTCGGTTCCAACTTCACCATACTTCACCCGGGTGGCGCGCTGGGTGAGCTTTCGGGTCAATGTCGCCCCTTTCAACGCCTCCTTCTTCTTCTCCTTGACAAGCTTGCGAGTTGTATTATAAACCGGTGGATCCTTAATCTTTGGCACGGATTGTTCGGTCATATCATATCCACGACCATATACGGCAAGTTGGACTGACACAGAACATGTTGTATCCATCTGGAAAACTACAGTTCGTTTTGCTTTTTGTTCGGCCACCTTTTCCCAGCCTTCTTCACACTCTTGCTTCTTTTCTTCCCACCAGCTCGATGACCAGCTGTGGAGATCTATTCTGCTTGCTCAAACCCACTCATTCCACCCCTCATAATTATTGTGGGGGCTAGTGTCCTCCGCATCACCCCACACCCAAATGGGTGTGGCCAAGCGTTCTTCAGACTGTGACAGGATGTGGTCCACCACCCCTGCTGGTCACCACCTATTTCCACTCCACTCAGGAAGCCCTGCCAAAACCTTTTTTTCATATACATCTATTGCCCCATAGCAGTGTCTTTCTCCATAGCCTTCTGCAGGCTTCTGAACCCGCCCACCTCTCTGAACCCGCAGTCGTAGAAGAACGAGCCCTCCCAGGGCCGGACTTTACTGCGCCCGTTCGGCAGCACAAGCCCAGAGGACCCATCAGCAGCACCCTCACAGCACGAGACTGGCCGTGGGTGCAGGTGCGAGCAGCTACGTTGTAACAGCTCCCTGTGTGAGTGTTTGGTGCGACTTCTGTGAGGTAGTTGTGAGTGCTGACTGCTCCAGTTCGTGTGGTGTAGCTCGTGGTGCTACAACCAGTTGTTTGCTGTAGTGGTGCGGTGGCATGTGCATGCATTGTCGCTTTGCTCTGCCTAGCTTGAGCTCAAAGAACAGCACTACAACCTTCTACAGGTTGAAGCCAAACACCACCAAACCAAAAAAATAAATCTCACACCTGAACCCTCAAGCCAAGCCTTCTACAGGTGCACTCTGCAAGGTTTTCTCCCACAGCAGTGCAGAAAGCCTGCTTTAGGCTCAAGGTCTATAGCCTTCTTCTGCCTCAGGTTGCCAGCAAGCCTTCAGCATAGCAGTTTTGACATCAACTATACGGCTGCCTGCTCCAGGCTCGATTCAGCGCACGCTGTGTCGCACACCTTCTCCATCACTTTGGTTTGGAGCTCCCCTTTGCAAGAAGCTGCCTGGCAAGCTGCGCATCAGCCTTTCTACCTGTAGGCCGTGCTTAAAAAATCCTTCCTCCTCCATAACTCTGATAACTCTGGGGAGCTCCACATTTTCCCAGCAATACACCTCTTCCTTCTTCAGGCTTGGCTTGGATGTGGGCTTCTTCAGGGCTCAGAAGGAAAGCTCCCAAAGGAGTTGGACTTTGTTCCCAGGCTGCAGGAAAGCCAGAGTATGCCAAGGGTTTGTGGGGCAGATTCACCGCTGCAGACGCGGAAACCCAGACAATAAGCCTCTTTCTTGCAGAATGTCTTGCGTTGTACGCAAAAGAACTTTTCTCGTGGTTGTCTTGAACGACAAGCTAGTGCACATGACCGCGCAGCTGTGGCTGCCGAAATAGCCCTCCGCGTTGCCGGATGCGCATCGTCGCTGCTTCCGGAATTGGCCGTTGGCCGGGCGGCGCGTGAACCATGCCCTACGTGTCCACAGGCAGCGTCGGCTTCGCCCGGTCCTCCACGAAGACGTGGAAAAAGCCAAAGACAGCGAGCAACGCCAGCTCAGCGAAGTCGGGCAGCTGACCGGGCGCAGCGCTGATGTAAAGTTCTGCTCTGCAGAGAACCTTGACAACCTGCAGTTCCTGGATTCGGTGAAGTGAAACTTAGATCAACCGTTTTTGCTAGGCATGCTAGGGAGAGAGCAAGAAGAATGCTTGCTTGAGAGCGGAGTGATTGAGAAAGAGAGAGTTGCGAGTGTCTAATCTAGGATTTTTCGGTCCATGTTTCAAGGCACACAGATTGGATAGTGAGTGTTGTCAAGTATATTGTGATGTATTCTGCATTGTCACCAAAATTACTCCACCACGTTCCCGGCTGCACTGTGCATTGGCTACCGGAAAAACTTAAGTGACACAATAATAAAATTACAGGGGTGGTCTCTGAGCACTTTCGGTAAGCAGGCTTACTTGAGCAAACGGATGGTAGATGGCAAGCCTTTCATCAGTGGGCGCGATGTTGCTGAGAGCAGCAAGTTGTGGTGCCATAATGTCCTAACAAACTTTGAAAATTCTGAACATTGGGTGTCCCAAAATGATCCAGAATTTTGCATGGTGCGAAATTCTAGCTGACCTAGCTTCAGCAGCTGGATGGTGCAAAATGTCAATACATCTGGCTGGTTCCTCGGGCGTTTTGCCCTACCACGGTTTGCGCGATTCATGTGTGTTATGTATTTCAGCATGACACACAGGTTGCAAGTTTCATATCTGACAAGCATTGTTTACAAAAAATGAGCAGAAGTGCTATGTTTTTAAAGACAAATGAAAAGAATTAATCAGTGTTCAAAGGGAAACTGCAAGGAATAATAATATCAATTTAAATAAAGGAATCTGAAAGGAATAGTTAATCCTTTATTCATTGTTTGCTTTTCATCTTCTATTCCTAGAGTATTGTAATTCTTTGCCTGTCTCATGCGCGAACGCAGTGTTTATGCAAAAAGTCCAAACCGTGGTGGGGCAAAACACCCGCATAACCCTCTGGCTATATGGTGGAGTTGTTCTTGTCCACCTGGATCCACCTCACGTTCAAACGGTCACTGTCCAACGAGCCTCCGTCGGTGGACAGGACTGGCAGGAGACGAACTCAGCACTCGGAAGGAATTGGAGCAGAAGTTGGAGGCCCAAAGTCGTGTTTTTGACATCTTCCTTGTTGGAGTTGTTCGGGTTGTGAGGCTATTTGTGGTCAAAAGAACCGCTAGCATGTGTCCTTCTGCGAGCAGAACTGGAGGGTTAGTCTTGGGAGATGAATCAGATGGTTTTGACATATGTCCGGCACTCAGAGAGCTGGGTCATGATCAGAATAAAAAGAGTGGTCATGACCCAGGTGGTGGTTGCCTCATAAACCCATGGTGTCTAGGGATTTTCCGATTGATGCCTGATGATCTAAACTGGCGCCATAGTCTATATGCGTCACAGACAGGGAAGCGTCACCAATCAACATGACATCAGCAACAAAAATTGCTTTGGACTCTTGGACCACCACGTAGTATCACGTAGTCACTGACCTGACCATCGAGTTATTTCAGTGACCATATCGAGGCCGGACGTCCATTGCGGCTCATATTGTTCACCAAAAAAAATGTTTTATGTCGTACGAGTATCGCAGCACATGTTCCAGTCTACTGTGGTTCTTCTTCACCATGAGTTGCCTATGATGTCGAGATTCCGTTCTCGGAGACTTCCGACTTGAGACGATTTCACGGCCAAGAATCCATTTGAACGGGAGTCCTTCGAACTTTGGCCTCCGAACTTGGGAAACATTGCTTCCTAATAAGCTTACCCACTGTGCTGACCATGGCTGAGGGATGGATTGTAATTGCATACGAAACATGGCAGAAATCGGTGATCAAGCTTTTGGTGGGCGCGGGTCAGCCCCTCAGGCGCCATGTGAAACCCGTATCCTAGACATGTGTTCCTCCAGAGACATTGCCTTCGTCTTTGGCGTAGACATCTCAACGTCCAGACCTCCAAAAGGATGAACCGACGTCACGACGTCTTTCTCCTCTGCGAGGTCTTCAAAGCCGAAGGGTCCTTGGGCCAGCCCATGATGCACCTCAGCTGTGCCGGGTGAAGAACCATGGAACAACCAAAACGCAAACAAATGCTAAAACGGCTTGGCGCCCGGCGCTGTAGAGAGAGAGAGAGAGAACATGGAGTGGGGGTCCACTGGGGAGAGAGAGAGAGAGAGAGAAGCGCCGGCCTGGTTTTTCACCTCGGTTGTGGCCTGGAAAGCTTGCGTGGCGTCGGTCAAACACCTCGTTTGACCTCCGGCAAATGCCGGCTTTGGATGTGTGATAGGTGTATATTACGTGAGCATGGAGTATGGACAAGGGGTTACCAAAGCTCTAAAACGAAAGAAGTGTCCCTCCCAATCAGAAGCACGGAAGAGAACTGCACGGCCTGTTTGGCGGGACGAATTGGTTCGGGCCATGCCACCCTCGTCCACTTCCATGACGATTCATCGTGGAATCGAAATGTGTGGGGAGTACCATTTGCGGAGCCTGGAGGGTACAGACGCAAGTGGTACTTTACTGGGTAGTGTGGACACAGTCTACCGGTAAAGTACCAGTTTGCTGTTCTGGGGGCAAGTGTGGACACAGTGGAGCACGAATCACATGGTATCACGGCTCTGGCGAGGGGGGCATCCATGTGAAAATTCTACCCACACACACTCTACGGACGCAGTTCAAGCCTGGGGGGGAGTAGGGTTTGATACCAATCAATATATATATATATATATATATTCAGGACGATCCGAACCTGGAATTTGTTGTTGGACTGCATTCTTCTTCAAACACATATGTGAGATGGCTTGGCCACATGGCCATGCATGGCACTTGTTTTCAAATAGCGAATCCACTCCACTTGCTCCCTGTTTGCCTGTCGTTGTCCATCAAAAGCAAAGAACATACAAGTGATGCACAAACACCAAAAGAAAACACCAAGTGTTTTTTGTGTTGCCTGTCGTTTTTCCATCCCAAGCGGCTTCACCCTCCGTCCTACGCTTGCAGCATCGCGACCGCGGAGAGGTTCCAGCCGGCGCCCATGCCTGCGTCCCGAGCTCGGGAGGTGAGAAGAAGTGACGAGGGTCGCCATGTTCGATCGAATAATGTCAGATCGAGGTGGATGATGTTGGATCCATGAAAGCATGAGAGATCAGATCATTCAAAGATCAGATCTTGACATGACTAGTCCATCTTTTGACATCGAATTAAGGAACTCACTAAGTTGGTTCTTCAAAGTGTTTTTAAAAAATGACATCTGAATCAGCGGAGGACATTCTTAGATGGGGCGTTAATGACTGAAGACATCAACAGAGAGAGAGAGAGAGATTGTGCGGACGCGAGATGGATCACACTTTCCCGATGTTTCTATTTCATGAACGGTACCTGTGCCTGTTTTTGGACTCGAACTTCGCCAGTTGGGCGCCAGCCAAGCGGCCGCGGTGCTGCGGGCCCGAGCGGCAGATCTGGAACGAGAGGCTGAGGAGGAACGGAAGAATATGCGCGAGGTCACCTTGGCCCCTTTGCTTGGCAGTGAGATGAAACAAAAAAAAGCTGTTTTCGGCGGATTGTTTGGAGGTTTGTGGGGTGGAGGGAGGGTGGAGAGTGGAGTTTGGGCCGGGTAGTGAGCGGGTGTTGGTCTGGTTTCAGCGACGGGTTTCGTGGATTTGGTCGTGAACAGTAGATCATCTTACAAGTTTGAGATGAAGAGCTGACCGCGAGATCTTTGGGTGAGAGACCTTTAAAATAAAGTGAATGGATGAGTAGGCCAAGCGAGCTCAAGTGGTTTTGGCATGGTGTAGGGTGATGTTGAAGGCTTAAGATGGTTCCAGAGAAGGCTGGCGGGTCTTGTTGCTTTTTGGGGTTTGAACTCCTGTCAGTTCTTTGGAGTTTTCTGCCATCCATGTACCCGAACTTTGTGTCCCGACGCACTCCGCGACTGGAAGATACAGACCTTGGAAGGTCCAGAAACTACCTGGGTCTTCAAACACGTATGTTTGCTAATCTGAAGACCCAGGTGTGAGAAGAGGAAGCCCCCCTACTACCGACCCAACCTGTTTTCGAGTTTTCTTATACCAGAAGGGGGTGGCCTGGCGGCCTCCCTATTCGCAAATCCACCATATATCCACAATAGTGCTGATGGAAGAAAGACATCCTGCATTGCCTGGGATACCAACAACACACTAACACGAAGAGATCACCCAAAAACAACGCAAGAAAAGGAAGGCACCAGACCAGAAGTTGTTTTATGTCGTTTTGACTTTCTCGCTATCTGTGACCGGGGCCGCTAGCGTTAGACAAGAAGCACTCAAATGCAACAAAATGCATGTGGCAAACTTTAGCAATTCTACACTTACCAAGGTGTGACCAGGTGGATCCAGGTGGATTGAACATCTTCTTGCAGGACCCATTCCGATGGCAATTTGCCACACCAATACATTGGATGATCAAAATCACGATACTGTAGGGTTCAGTTGGGTAGGACTTGGAGGGTTCACGAAAGCAATGAGGTTTTATCACCAGATATCGCCAGAATGGTCAGCTCAGCAGGAGGACACTTATTTGGGGCACCGCATCCGCGCTATTCCAGTGGACTGAACTGGACATGTTTTAGTGGTTTGGGTCGGCATTTCTGGACAACCTGTACACTCTGACTCACTAACATGGAAGTGGAAAATTGCCCCTTGGCAGACTGTTTTCCTTTGCGAACCGGTTTTTTTGCGAACAGGTGAGTCGGAGTGTAGCTGGGATTGAGCCTAGACTGGACCGGACTGGACCATCCTATTTGGGCGTCGCTGGAGGGGTCTCCTAAGTAGTGTGTATGGTGGGCTGGGGTAGTCCATTGGCCCATGGGATGGTCTTGTATCCTCATAGATTGCCTTTTATTGTTAGTTGGTTGATTAATAGAGAGGATACCCTAGTTAGTGTACAACCAATAGGTAAATGGTACCAAAGCGACCCATTGATTCTTCCCGGTCGTATGGACACCGTCCTAATGATGAATTCGAAAGCACCATCTTTGTCAGCGCTAAGGACCTGGATTTGTCGCAACCTTTGGGCCACTTGGATGCCAACCAAGCCTGGAATATCCAGAAGAAATGTCTTCAGGGCCCCGTAGTGGTTTACAACTCAATAGGAGCTCAGTTTAAAACTTCAATGGAGTGTCACAATAGATTCAGTCGCATGATCGGAACAACCAGAGCTGGTAGAGCTGGTGGTGCCCCATGTGTGAAACAATCAACAGGATGCAGTGCTGCAGGTGGATTCTGCTCCTCTTTTTGTCCCTTGGGTGCGACGCAACCCATCACATCATCACATCCCAGACGTGAATTGATGCCACGCAGACGTCCTCAACAAAAGGGTCGTCATGAATCGGCCATCATGTGGATCCGTCCCCTTGATGCCACGGCCTTCTGCGCCTACCATAACGGGAAAAAGACAGTGGAAACCATTCCCTACCGGAAAAACAAAAATAGAAAAACATGGTTGTTGGGGAATCTGAAAATCATTGAAAGTCCCAAACACCATTGAATCTTCTCTCACCCGTCCAAGACTGGCTAAGTCCTCTCAGGGCTTTTCCTGCGTCCATCGGTATTGAAGGTCTCAAAAGACCGGAGTCCACGACCAGCGAGGTCCAGGGTTCTTGGTATCCAACTCAAACTTGTTACTTATAGTACCCTAGGGATCCAAATACCTTCTCAGAAGGTACTTGGACCCTCCAAACCCACATAACAGTGTCTCCAATCACCTTCTGAGAAGGTACTTGGATCCCTAGGGGTAGTAAGAATTCTACTAGTAGTGATTCCATGAGCCCCTAGTAGCGTCCTTGCTCCTAGTAGTAAGGCCAGGATCCCCTAGTAGCGTCTTAAGTTACTATGTTTACATGTTTCAGGTGGGTTGTGAAGATCCCACCACCTTATGATGCCTTATGAGAAGATCATTGGATTGGGGTCCCTATATCTGATATTCTATGGAGTATGATTATGATCGGAGTATGTCAACAAACCTCCCGATCGAGCAACTTAGAGACACATAGAGACACACCGGCAGGCCTGATCATTTTCACTTTTTCCAGGAGGCGATCACATGAGGATTGGACAGAATCGATGGTTTAGGTTGGCCGCCCCTGGTTGCTTCAGAATGGAACGAGGTCACCCAGACGCAGACCTCTCCCCATGTCCGAACCCACCGAATTTGCCAGAGAGTTTGTCCATCGACTCGTCACTCATCACTCGTCATCCGGGTTTCGCGACTTGTTCAGGTATCCTCTTCAATAAATTCTTAGAAGCTGATGCCGTCAACGAAGGCGAGGATCCTTCATGCGCGTTTGGACGTGTCGGGCCGAGGAAGAAACATGGGTGTTGGTTAGATTTTGCCGGTCTTCCACCTGCCCGGTTTGTTGCTTTGGTTTGATGTCTTTCACCAAGGTTTGGAGATCTATTCATTTGTGTCTAGACACCTCATAGTTATGGTTCTATGACCTCATGAATAAACACTACACACGGTATGTTTCACCGTAGCATTGGGCTCGAAGGGCATGCCCATTTGCCCAGCCTGCCATAAGTGGACGCTTTTGGCAGGAGAATGTTCGGTTTGCGTGTCAGCGAACCGTTTGGTGGCGGCAGCGCTTGGCCCGAGGCTTCCACCGACCCGAGAAGCGCAGTGCAAGGTGACCAAGATTTTGGACGGGGCTTTTTATTCCATCGGTCGGCTCCTACCAGAGGAAGAGGATAGCCCCGAGAAGGGAGGTTCAGCTCCCAGTGGAAGCCCGCGGTCAGCGGAGAAGAAGGGAGAGGCGTCTCCCAAGCCACCAGTCGATACCAAGGAGGAGGGTGTCGAAGCCAGCGCGAACAAGGAGAGCACTGTTGAGGAGGCAGTAGTATCCCCTCATTTGCAGGACAAAGCAGCGAAGAAGGAGAGCAACAAGGGAGTGGAGGAGACTCCCAAGGGTACCGAGGAGAGAAAACCCTTGCCGAGGAGAAGAGAGGAAGAGAAAGAAGTCGGAAAAAGGTCCCGATCGCCCAAAAGGAGGCAGGAGAAAGAAAAGAGGAGAAAAAGGAGAGGAGACTCCAGATCAGGTGAGGTAAGTGGATCAGAGGTCAGGAGGCAGAAAAGGGAGGTGGTCACCTCCCAGAAGGAAAGAAAGGAAAGAACAGAGGAAGCAACGCCAAAGAGTCCCGCCATTGAGAGAGAGCCCTATTTGAGACCGAGGCCAACTCAGCGAAGACCTAGGTCGCCACATACGCCTGAACGACCTCCGCCCGAGAGATCATCAGGTTCAAAAGGGAAAGGCAAGGGGAAACCGCAAGGTAGTGGTTGGAGGGGCCGCGTGCCTTATTCAAGTCACCCACGGTGGACTCAGGGCATCAATAAAGGAATTACAAAGAGAGCAAAACAAGAGCTCAAGGAAAGAAAGACCCGCGGCCGAGGAGGCCGCTACCATTGGTAAGGGAAGCAATGGCTCCCAAACTACGACGACCAGCAGCAGCACCTCCACGAGTGGGACGACGACGCAGGCCAGCAGCGGGAAGGGAGGAGGACCTCCCAGTGGAAAAGCTTTATTCATGGTCAGATCTTACAATGGAAAGATTGGGAGACCTGGACGTGATTGAGCTGGACAGGGCTTCATATTACAACGCCTCAGTCAAGGTGGCTGGCAGGGTCCGTGCTTTACATCCGGGCGATGGCCGCATGGATTTCGTGCTGACGGGCACCCAGTCGGAGCGCATTATGGAGGCGTTTGGAGGAGGAGAGGACCGGCTCATTTCGGTCCACCTTTGTAAGGACAGCTGTGGCCAGCTAGAGACCGGCAGGAAAGTGTTCCATGCCCGAGGGTTCTGGGATTGCTCAGTAGCCCCAAAAGAATGGCAGATGAACCTCTCCGAGAAAGCCGTTGCGGAGCTCGATGAGTTGTCGTCGTTGAGAAGGCTTGCCGAGGAGCGTGGAAAAGGGAGGGGAGGAGATAAGCCTCCCAGACCTGAGGTGGCGGCTGCAGAGGTGGTTGAAGGAGAAAAGAAGATAGAAGGGGCAAAGGAAAAGAGAAAGAAGAAAAAGAAGAAAGAGAGAAAGGGTGAAAAGGAATGGGAGGAGAAGTTGGAGGCCCAGGAGGGGCTTGAGGTGTTGGAGAAAGGGCAAAAGACCGCCAGGGCTGTCTTTGCCTTCACCTGTCTGGACCCAAATGTGAGCCGCCGTAAGAGGCTGATGCGGAAGGCCCGGAAGATGAAGAAGAGGAGTGACAAGAAGCGGAAGCGGTCGAGCAGCTCTGAGGAGGAGGCCAGCAGCTCAGAGAGTTCGTCTGAGGAGGACGGATCTGAAGAAGAGGGGCCGTTATTTGAGGAGACAAGAAAAGTGAAGCGGCTTCATGAGAGATACCCCGGAGCACTGAGTTTGCAGGCCATAGAGAATATGCGAGAGCATTTGATGAGCGCCCGAGGAGACTTATACAGCAGTTTACAAGAGCAGCTGGCGCCGGTCTTTGCGATTTACGCTCATCAACACCTCAAGGGTCAGGCATCGCCGGTTCTCTGGCAAGAGATTAGCACCGTGGCCCACGTCAGCGATCTCATCCTCCGGCGCAAGATTGCGGCAGCGCTGGGCGTTTTGGTCCAGAGGGCCAAGGCACTAGAGTCGACCCTCAAAGGCGGGCACTACACAGTGTCGAGGCAGCTAGAGCTCGTGGGGGCCGACCAGGTGGCCATGACAGAGGCAGGCGAAAGCTATGAAGCGGCCCGCCATGCCCGCGAAGACTTCCGCAACAAGACGGTGGGGTCCAAGCCCTATGGGATGGGGCGAAAAGGCGACAGTGAGGGCAAAGGTAGAGGCAAAGCTGTTCCATCTTCAGAGCCGGCGTACAAGGAGAAGGGTGAGAAGGGAAAGAAAGGAAAAGGAAAATGGGACCGCAAAGGAAAAGCAGAGAATGGATAGCCGGTGAGACTGAGGATGGAACAGCACATGAGAAAGAGTAGAGGAAGTGCCAAGAGAGGAGAGTCGCCAGGAAAGAGAGAAGAGAGGGTTGACAGACAGGTGAGGCAAAGGAGAACAGAGGATATGGGCAGAGGAGATGAGGAGGAAAAGGCCATAGAGGCCCTATTACAGCACTGCCGGGAGCGGGCAGAAGGCTATGAGCTTGGAGGAGCAGCTCTTGTTGAAAAAAGTCCAGGAGGGGCTCCGGGCCGAGCAGAGGAGGAGAGTATTGTACAGGGGAGGGCCTGCGGAGCGCTCTCCCAGCATGCAGAACTGGAAGCAGAGGCTGCAGGTATGGACCGTGGCTTACTGGCTGAAGGTGTCTTCGCTGGAGGGAATGCTGCAGGAGAGAGACAGAAGGGAGGGGAGCACATGACGAGGGGCTCCCAGTTTTTCCAGGGCGAGTCCGGGCGACCCCAAATGAAGGAGAGCCGCTGGGACGTCTATGCCGGGACACCACGACTGGATTTCAACCCGTGCCGTGGTGGAGACGTTGTGCACAGAAGTCCCCGTACTACGGGGCAAGGAGTGTCAGAACAAGCCGGGCACGACCTCGAAGAGTTGCGCCTGATGCTACAAAACAAGAGTCAGCAAGAAGAGATGGTGGTGGGGGAGATGGGGCCCTTACTCTCCCGTATGTTGGAGGTTTTCGATGATCAGTTGAACACGCGTTGCAGTCAGGCCTCGGAGGGGATTTTCCCTCTCCCGCTTCCAACACAACTAGGGATGAGTGGGGCCCAAGTGTCTTTCCTTGAGGCGTTGGTCCGTGGGTTGAACCTACTTGCCGGTACTAGGAGTAGGTGGCTGAGGACTCCCAGCAAGGTTTCGCAGGAGTTGGTTTGTCGTCTTGAACAAGTTTTGGAGGGTTGTGAACTGTTGAAAGAAAAGGTGCCGCGGCTTACTTTTCGGGAGTTCTTCCGCACCAAGACCATCGATTATTCGGGTGAAGAGGTGAAAGTCGCTCGCCGGTTTACTTGGCAGATGATTGAGGCCGCTCTGCCCCAAGGGGTAGGAAGTTTGGTGTTGACCGAGTTTTGCACTCAAGGGACCCTTGATTATGTACGGAATTTCGAGCAGTGCCTTCTACCGGATCAGGATCAGCACTTGGGGAAGACGCCAGCCATCATGGTGGAGCAAAGCGACTGGGCTGAGGTGTGCCGGGGTCTGGTCGCCAGGGGAGTTTGTGGTCCGATGAAAAGGGGGGAACTGCACCATGTTCGGGGAAGACCCTTACTTAACGGCCTTTTTGCAGTGGAGAAGGGGGAGAGAGCAGTTGGAGCAGATGGCATTGAATTTGACGTATGCCGGCTAATCATGAATTTGGTTCCAACCAACTCCCTTTGTCGCAACTTGGTCGGGGATACGGCAACGCTTCCCTCAATCGTCGGACTCACGTCAATCATCCTTGAAGACAGTGAGCTGCTCCTTACATCCTCAGAGGATATCCGGTGTTTCTTTTATCTATTCCAGACACCACCAGAGTGGTGGCCCTACATGGGCTTTGCACGGGAGGTGCCAGAAGAGGCCCTCCCAGGGGGCTACTCCGGACGGGAGTGGCACCTGGTGACGAAGGTGTTGCCTATGGGGTTCATCAACTCGGTTGCGATCGCCCAGCACGTGCACAGACGAGTGATTGGACAAGCTCTCTATTCAGGAGCGAGCCTCGCGTCAAAGCATCAAGAGATCAGGCGTGACCGGCCCAACAGTCGGGCCGATCATCTATTCAGGGTTTATTTGGACAACTTCGATGAGCTGCGCAAGGTGGACAGGCGGGTGGCCGAGCTTGTGGAAGGACAACCATCAGACTGGACACTAGCCATCAGGGAGACGTATACATGCCTGGGGCTGCCGCGCCATCCTAAGAAGGCAGTGGAGCAGTCAATGCACGCGGAGGTCCAGGGAGCCTGGGTGGATGGGAGTAGAGGAACAGCTACTCCCAAGTTCAGCAAGGTTGCCAGGTACTTGAGTCTGGCAATGGAGGCAGTTGTGCAAGGAAAGGCTTCGCAGCGAGAGCTACAGATTATTGGGGGTGGTTTCGTCTACATTGCAATGTTCAGGCGCCCTCTTCTCTCAGGGTTGAATGCCATTTGGAAGAAGATTACTAGTCTGAAAGGCATTTCACCTCATCAGCGCTCTGCGTTGAGTCGAGAAGTCGAGGTGGAGCTGATCCGCTTCATCGCAATGAGTCCCTTGGCATTCATGAACTTCAGGCTACCTGTCTCGGAGCACGTCACGGCTAGTGATGCGTCGACCACGGGAGGTGGGCTCTGCGTATCCCGTGGGCTTAGTCCTTACGGGTTGGCGGCCTCCCAGGCTGAGGCGCGAGGGGACGTGCTATGTCCGGACGAGATCGACCAGATCCTCGTGATCTCGTTGTTTGATGGGATTGGTGCTTTGCGTGTTGCTCTGGATTGCCTGAGAGTACCGGTAGCTGGATTTGTCTCGGTGGAGCTTGATGACCACGCCTCTCGTGTTGTGGAGTCGTACTTCCCGGATGTGATTCGGGTGACTGACGTTGGCTTGGTTGATCTTGAGATGATGCGGGGTTGGGGGCTGCGTTTCCCGTCGGTGTCGCTTGTCCTGTTGGGTGCGGGACCACCGTGCCAAGGAGTCTCAGGTTTGAACGTGGACCGGAAAGGAGCTATGAAGGATGCGAGGTCTTCCCTATTCCAGCACATCCCAAGGATCGAACAAATGGCGCGGCAGGTTTTCAAGTGGTGCCCATTACACCGTTTAATTGAGAATGTCGCCTCCATGGATAAGGTTGATTGCTTGGCGATGAATCAGGCGTATGGGATGGAACCCTGGGTGGTGGATGCTCATGGCATTTCCTTGGCTCGTCGACCGCGTCTTTATTGGATGGACTGGGAGATGGGGCCGCAGGAAGGAGTTGCAGTTGCTCAGGGGAGGATCAGAGGCCTCCCAGTGCAAGGAAATATCCAACTTCACGGTCAAGTGGATGATGCTGACTATCTGGAGCCCGGCTGGAGACGTGTCAAGCCTAGTGGGAGTTTCCCTACGTTCACTACAGCTAGGCCCTCGGACACACCAGGAAGGAAACCCGCGGGGTTGGCGCTCTGTCCTCCGGAAGCTTTGAACAGGTGGAGGAGCGATTCTCACAGGTTTCCGCCTTACCAATATCGAGACGAAAATTGTGTGGTAAACTCCCAGGGTATAATGCGTGTCCCATCCATTTCAGAACGTGAGGTGATCCTGGGGTTTCCCCTGGGGTACACCCGCCGGTGCATGACAAAAGCGGCTGAAGGGAGTACGAGCCATAGCGACTGTCGGCTGAAGCTGCTAGGCAATAGTTGGTCGGTGCCGGTTGTTTGCGTGTTGTTGAGCTCCTTGTTCCGGTTGCTTGGTTGGTTGCCGTCCCTATCAGTTCAGGAGATTCTTGATCGGTTGACGCCAGGATGTGCTTCGGACCTTGCCGGCTTGCTGTTGCGGCCACCTCTACGTCACAGTAGTCAAGTGACACAGCCGGGGTCAGGACTTGTGCGAAAACTGCTTGGCCAGGTGTCTGTCAAGGGGGAAGATATTCTCCTCCAAATGGGCAGTGATGTCCCTGCTAGGTATCATCGTCTGCGAGCGTTGCTTCCGAGTAAGCTTTGGAGGTGGAGAGATGTCATCGGGTGGCGCTGGAAAGGAGACGTGGAACACATCAATGCCCTAGAGCTTCGGGCAGTCAAGACGAGTCTGGTTTGGAGGATTAGGGAGCTGCGTGAAGGCCCTGTCCGTTTCGTTCACTTAGTCGATTCTCTGGTTGTGCTGCATGCTTTGTCGAGAGGTAGATCTTCAAGCCGGAAACTCAGGAGGACCTTGGCAAAGATAAGTGCACTGTTGTTGGCAAGCGGCTCTGTTGGTGCTTGGTCCTATGTGGACACGCACCAAAACCCAGCAGATCGGCCGTCCCGGCGGCCCGTCCACCGGAAATGGGTAAGAAAGGTGCAAAAGTGATCGAGGGCCGTAATCAACAACAGCGCATGAAAGTGAGGAAACAACTGGGGACTTTGAAGGGGTTGACTGTTCAGCCTCGGACTCGTGAACGTTATCAGACATGTCTTGACAAATTCATTGATTGGCTGGCAGGGGAGGGGCTTGTCCTCCCAAAGCGTGCTCAGGCCCTGGATAGTGTTGTATCTGACTACTTGGAGTTCTTGTGGGCTGCTGGTGAAAGCAAGTCGGTCGCCAATAACACCTTGGCAGCTCTGCAAGATAAAGAACCAGGTTTGAAGCGACGCCTCACGGGCAGCTGGCGGTTGTTGAAAGCATGGTCAACCGTCGAAATCCCAAACCGCGCGCCTCCAATGACCCTGACAGTGCTGGATGCACTTTGCGGCTGGTTTCTCATGAAGGAGCAGCCGCTCATAGCCTTGTCGTTGCGCGTGGCCTTCTTTGGGTTACTTCGCACGGGAGAGCTGCTCAATTTGCGAGCGCGGGATGTCTTTCTTCCTTCTCCCAAGGGGCCCGCCGTGCTTTCACTCGGGCTGACAAAAGCGGGAGCACGCCAAGGAGCTGCGGAAAGTGTGACATTGCATGAGGACTCTGTACTTCCCAGTCTCTTTCGTTGGAAACAGTCTGCACGACCCTCCGAATTTTTAACTCCGAAACCGCACCAGTGGCGTAGCTGGTTTTCCCAAGCCATAGAAGGCCTACGACTGACCCACTTGGAATTTCGCCCTTACAGCCTCAGGCGAGGTGGGGCCACATTCTTTTTTAACCACCACGGATCTTTCGATCGCTTGCTGGTCCAGGGACGTTGGGCAGCCGCGAAAACGGCCCGTATTTACTTGAACGATGGGCTAGCTCAGCTTTCCGAGATGACACTCCCTAATTCGGCATTGCATGGTTACATCCGTTTGTTCCGCTCGTGCCCAATACTTGAGCCTGGGAAGCCGTGTACGCTTCCCAGAGCTGGGGGGCGTGGAAAGAAGCGCAGAACAGGAAAATGAGAGTTGGTGTCTCGCTCAGTTTTTCTCTAGAATACCC